ACTTTATATTCTCCATATCAATATGTGTGTATACATATGTATGTGTAATTGGTGTATATATTCATTTTTACTTTAATATTGCTTCAAAACAAAAATGGCAGCACAGTAGTCAATAAAACATACAATATCTCATCAACGACAGGTTGTTGAGAAGAGTAAAAATTGATATTTGATATACTGATGCGATTTAATATATGACCTAAGCAATACAGGATACAGCTGTGCCCGATGTAAGTTTTCGCCTGTGCGTGCAACAGCCTGCTAGTACATTCATTTGAACCGGACTCTATCGTTGAAATATACCCTACTGCACGCGGCTTTGCTTCAATGGCGGGTGGCCAAACTATGGTAGGTTTTTTTGGTCTGTTTAGATGATGACTGATCATTATGCACTGCAATATCCACACGTTGTTCCGTGAGTCAAGTTCCCTTTCGAGCGTGACAATCGTGGATGGTGGCGAATTATTGATTGTAATTCATGCACTTTAAGTATGCTATGGTTAATTCAGAGAATCATAAACGCGCACTGTGGATATGCTATCAGTGTGTTGTGATAGAGTTATCTAAAGGCGTGAGCAGGTTGACGTGTCTGTATGCATGACTTCTCAAATGTGTCTCATGTGAATGCGGCATACTATTTAAGAGCGTCGACCATGTTAATCTTTCGTATATATGTACTTATATTATTTGACTAGGTCAGCAAATAACACTCTGATTTGTTTAACAAAACATATCTACTGTTTACGTCATATTATGGAATGTGCATTTTTCTAATTTATATCAAATTATGTATATAACATATATATAATTAATAACATATTTTCTCATTTGTATATGTATATAACATATATATGATTGATAAAATATTTTCTCATTTGTAAGAAAACAGAAAATTGGTTTTCCAGTCACTATTACCACAATTCTAGGTTGTTATATGGCATCAGGAACTGGTGACATGTTGCCGCTGACGTTTCTAGTTTGTGCGAAATGACTGGCAACATATTGCATGATCATAATCACTATCTCCCACTCATCTTCCCCCAACCTGCTCAGCTTTGCTACTAAAACTCGTTCCACTCCGTCGGGGTCGGGGTCAGCGGTCGACCTCACTACCGTGTGCGTGTTTTGTTGTAAGTGCTGACTAATGTTAATCGCGTGTTTGCAATGTGTGGCCTGGTAGCTGATCGTCTTATCGTACCCCGATGGCGTGAGTCGTTGCCTATGCTATTTTTCAAACACATGCGTTGGCCTGGGATCAGTGGCTGTACAGACCTCCGTGATATAACAGAATACTGCAGACTATGGTGGTACAGGTTTTTATTTACCTAAATTCTGAGGTATTTTAACATTGTGTTCACTGCGATTATGTAAAACTAACCATCAATGCCTCTTCCACTTTCATTTCCCTCATGGGCGGTGGGGTAGCCGAGTGGTTAAAGTGTTCGCTCGTCACGATGAAGACCCGGGTTCGATTCCCCACATGAGTACAATGTGTGAAGCCCATTTCTGGTGCCCCCCGTCGTGATATTACTGGAATATTGCAATAAAAGGTGTAAAACAATATTCAATCATTAGTCGCTCTGTGGTCAGTGAAATATAAGTTACCCTCATAAAGCCATGACATTTATTATAACTATATTAGCATAAACTAGATTTTGTAATATTCACATTTAGGAATTTCTACTTCCATTTGCTGCAGAATTAAATTTGGGCCAATTATTGGCCTTGGAGCGGGTCTGCATAATATCCCGGATATCGAGTGAAAAAATATTGTTATATTTGATCTGCAAGTATTTGCATCATTCCCGTCTTCGAAAGAAATATTGTTTTTATTTTGATTGATTTCAATCTGATATCACTCTTGCTTTAGTCTATGTTTTCTACATTGAACCTCGGTATGTAATGACTTGTGATGTGTAGGTTTTGAGTTGGGTCTCGCTATATTGTCATATGATCTTCAAAGCAGGGATGCACGTAATTACCGTTTAGACAGCACAACTCTTTTGAGTGAGTGATTGATTCAGGTTTAACGCCGATTTGAACAGTATATTTCAACTTTATAATATCATGGCGTGTCAGTTAATTGTGGGAGGCAAACGTCTTCTGCGTTATTAACCACTGTGATGAAATCCCCGAGCACGGGTGTAGCTTCCTGCGGACAAACAAAGCTTCAAGCCGAATATAGGTTTCGACCCTACTGTCATTGAATCCTGGCACGGCCAAGAGGCGCAACTCCGAGCAGCGAATTGCTGCGTCTCACACCCATGGGTCCCCCATTCTGTTGCCTCTCACTATACTCTTTTATGTTTGTTGCAATCTGAATAAGCAACCGTCTCTCAAATACACCAAGTGTTGAAGCTTTAGATTGGCAATAGAGTACACATGGGGCAAGTGACCAAATACAGGGATAGACATGATAGACTTGTCCGGTAGTCCGAGGCAAGTGAAAATTAAGACGGACTAGTTGTTATCATCTCAAGTTATTTCACAAGAACCCCACAAGTCCGAATTGAGCTGCGGACTAGATGGATAAGGCCATTGGTGTCTACCCTTGATATGCCAGCGATCTTGATGGACCAATTTCAGAGACTCTGACAATCAAGGAAAAAGGTAATATTTATAATGCGCCAAATCCATGTCCGAAAGTGCGCTCAAAGCGCTACATTATTATTCCGGTCAATGGATCAGTGTGCGTTCGATTTTCATGCTCAGCTTCCTTGGGAGAATTCACCTCCAGCTGCCTTTGAGGCGCTAGAAGGTTAAGAGCCACCATCTCATCCTACCGGGTACCCACTCACTGCTGGGTGAACAGAGTCACATTTCGAACAAAGACAATTGCCTGAGACACCACATGTACTTTTGTGCTTCAGTATGGGGCAGGACCGAAGCCCTAGAAACTCTCAGAGGAGTCCAGCTGCTGGACGCGGTTACCCATCCGTCTATTGTTGCTGAACTTCCCCTGATTTGTGACGCTGTGCACAGGACCACGTGTCGCCACTGTTAGGAGTTAATTAATGTGTAACAGCTACGTGAATCCTATCACTATATATAATATATCGTATGTCACCAGCCAATATATATAACATGTCATGTATCTCCAGTCAAAAGCCAATATGAGCATTCCAAATAACCATAACATCCCGGAGAGTGTAACAGGTTGGACTTATTTAGAAATGAAAGCTGATATATTAATTATAATGTATCTATACACCGCCGTATTCTTGTGAAACGCTCCTTGCAAACATATGGTAAAACTCAATAGAAAATAATCTAAAACTCACTTGACTATAGTTAACGTGTGGAAATGCCTGCAAAAATGTATCTTTTTCCGGGGTTAAATCTATAGAAGACATTGCGCTTATCTCTTACAACTCAGTTCCGACTTGCTTAAGAAATGAAATCATTTATGAAATCTCTTTAGTCTGAAGAATTGTTCATAATGTAGTGAAATCCCGACACTCTCGTAATCCCCCCCCCCCCCCCCCCCCCCCCCACACACACACACACACACACACACCACACCCCATCCCCTTTCTACTGGACGATTACTTAAAGAACATCGATATGTTTACCAATGGACACGTGGTCGTGTTTCGTTTATCCGTTTGTCTTAATCCAGGTGAATTAACTGGGAACGGCACCGTTCGGATTAACGGAGTTTCGCTGTATCGGATATATGACACGTGAAGATCCGGGGTAGAATAGGTCTTCAGCAATCCATGCTTACCGTAAAAGGCGACTATGCTTGCCGTAAGAGGCCACTAATGGGATCGGGTGGTCAGGGTCGCTGACTTTTGCGTGGAATGATGCGCTTGATGTCAATCACTGGATTGTCTGGTTCAGACTCGATTATTTACAGACCGCCGTCATACATCTGAAATATTGCAGAGTGCGGCATAAACAACAAACAAACTGTATGTGATATTGTGCGTTACCTTGGTTACATACTCTAGTAAGTTTGTGAAGTTACCATATTATGGGTCCTCGCATTGGACATGTAAAAAATGTACGAGTATCGCGAAAAACACTGTGCAACAAAGACAAACGGGGTGTTGAGTGGGATTAAAAGTAGTGGTTGCCAAGTCACGTTCACACTGAGATCGTGTGACCTTTTATTTACCAAATGCATTGAAGTTTGCATCGAAGTTTGCATTGAAGTTTGCATTGAAAAAGACACGACGGATTGGAGTGGGGTGCAAACATTATTGTGATCTTATTTCATTCAGGACTGATATTTGTCATATGGAGAGGGAAGGGATGTTGACTTTTCTAAAAGTGCACATGCACATAATCTCATGATTTAATCAGAACTTGGTATTCGTGCGGGAGGACCCTCCCGGTATTATGGGGTGAAAGCTTCCACTCTAGACTAACCCTTAGTGTCTGAAAATATGTTATTTTGATAGAAACAAGCAACTACATAAATTGAAAAGGAGCCACTCAGATCCTGTGGAAAATCTAGACTTGCTTCAAATTGGTCAAACATTACAGTAAGGGTTGGGTGGAAGGGAACATAATATGGCCAAGGGACTCTGAGACAGACTGCCTCCACTCGTGGAACCCAAATTTAAAGCACATTCAACACGAAGAATGAATAAGTGAGTTCTGTTTAGACAGTATTCCAGTTATTTCACAGCGTGTCAATTTTATGTGGGTGGAAAGCCCGAAGTGATGCAGCTCCCAGACGTTTACCATTTTAGTGAAACCCATGAGTATGGGTATGATGCTGAAAATCCTAGAAACATCGGGTCGAACCGGAGTTCGAACTCATAATCATAGGTTTCTCTGGGCCAAAGGGACACAACTCTGCACAGCGAACTGCGGCGCCTTCGACGACTGGGACACCTGTGCCCCCAACATGAAAAGTGTTTATGATCATGATATACATTTTATATGTTTATGATAACGACTTAGGACATCAAAAATCGTGTCTTAAACTTGATACGATGACTTGCAGTATTTAGTTCACCAGTGTACATGTGTGTTCTGTGTCGTTCCAGGGGTCAGGCGAGGACTTTAACGGCTATGGCCGAGCGGTGACGGAGGGAGAAGCAGAACACAGCTATGTCCAGGACGCCCAAGCCGGTCTCTCTCACGTCCTGGATGAGCTCAAAGCCTTTCAGAAACGTATGTACATGCCATTCCGTACACATATACATGTAACCCAACAAAGTCGTACTGTGAGAAAATGGCGAGAGTTTCAGTTCTATCACTGCTGACCGCCTCCGTGGTCTGGTGGTAGAGCGTCTGCCCGGAAAGCGGAAGGTTCGGGGTTCGATCCCCAACCGCGTTAGAAGATGGTACTTGTTGTTAGCCTGCCTGGCGCTCGGCATTAAAGGGCTAAAAGAAGGATTGGTCGGCTCGGAGTCAGTATACTGTGTCTTGAGTGGGGTATTCATGTTTAACTGCGGCATGGTATCAATATGAATACACAATGCCACTATGGTATCATAGTGGGTTAGCACTACAAAATCGACAATAGTCGGGACTACAGCAATCTCATTAAAATCAGATCTTAGTTCTCGCTACCGCTAAACATCAGATCTTAGTTCTCGCTACCGCTAAACAAAGCGGTAGCGAGAACTAAGATCTGATTTTAATGAGATTGTAGCGAGAACTAAGATCTGATTTTAATGAGATTGTAGTACAAGCAGCCACACACACACACACACACACGCACACACACACGTGATGACAATTCTTTAGCTATGCCCGTTTGCGTTAGACGGAACCAAGTCGCAAAAATGGCCACGCGAGGGGCACGATTTCGCTGTCCCGAAATAACACGAGTTATTCACGAATGCGCCGGTGTGTGATTCATCGCGGCTTGCGCGTTGTGACGTCATAGACATGTGACCATGCCTGACGTCACACGTATTCATTTCGTGTTCTCCTCTGTGACGTCACGGTATTGTTGTCGCCGTGGAATTAAAACTTCATACGAGCAAGCATTGGCTACAAACATGTAGCATGTGTGTTATTAGTGGGTCAGCATTTGCCTGGATATTGAGTCAGTGTAAGTAGATTCCGAATACGAAATCGAAGATGGTGGGATTCTTACAACATATTTTCATTATAAACTGTTTTGAATTGTATCGATTCTTACGTATTTATAATATGGACTGTTTCTCAATTTTAAAACCGACCGCATTCCTAGGGAAAGTTGATGAAGTTGGAGAGTTCATTCAATATGATATGTATACAGATTATGCATTCTGAAAAAGTTCGTGCAAGCCAGTCATTTTCCTGTTTCCGATGAAAACAAATTAACTTTTGTTGCAATAAATTACGCACGAATTTTGTGAATTATTTTCGATCCGTTTCAGTAAATATATTTGTCCATTTTGTTGTTGAATATATAAGTGTATGTCAACATAGTACACACGAATAACACTCACTGATATTTTTAGTTCTATGAAATATTAAAGGAAATATTTTTATTCCCATTGTCGTTATATCTAAGGGAGATAACTCTCTCTGCCCTGTGCACAGTTTTATCAGATTGCTGGCAGTGCAATAGCAGAGCATGAAAAGTCAGGTTCGATCCCAACCTTAATTCACACATGTATTCAATGACGATAATTACATGAGTTGGGTCATATTTTTGTGGCCTTCAACAGAAGATGTAAAATAAACAAAGACAGCATCTCGTAAAAAGACGACACTGCTTGTCGTCACTGCTAAATTGTATTAATACAACTTAGGTATGGACAGTAACTCGTAGAAAGCGAAACCGTAACCGGAACCGGAACCGGATTCGGATTCGGATTCAGCTTACGAAAAAGAAATATGAAAAAGACACGTATTTCATTTGTATTCGTGGCCTTATATATTAAAATTTTGTTCTGTGTACAAACACATTCATTTCATATTTATATTTTCATTTGCAGGTATTGAACATTCAATCCTCCACACGGAGAAAGGAGCGTTCATCTTGGCTGGAATCCTCTGTTCCATTGCCATGGTGGTGTTAGTGGGCGGGGCTCTCTACTGCCATTGGTTCGGGAACTATGTGCCAAAATACATCCGGGTGTCTCGAAAAGATGGGAAGGAAATTACCGAGGAAGCGGAAAAGGAGGCAAAGAATGGCCACTTGAAAGGAGAATAATGTCATTAATTTCAAAAAAGGGAACTGTGATACCCTGAACACCCATGCGCATTGGAATACACTGATACGTTTCCTAAAGCGCGTGTTGAATTATGAGTGAATGTTGCATAGATTTATATATCTGTTTTGTTGTTGTGAAACTGGTGTTGATTGATATTCTATTTTGATAATGTGCAAATTCTATGAACTGTTTGTGCCTTGAAACGAATTGACATGCCAGATCTCACGTGTTGTGTGAAGTTACTGCGTCTTGTTACCATAGCAACCGAACACCGTGATTTTTTCGGTTTAGATCTATGCATTGTTTTCCAGTATATATGCCTTTTGAATGTGAGCTAGATTACATCAGATGTATGAACTCTTGGCTGTACAGTCAGACATATCTGAATGTTCCGATGCAATTTTGACAAGCCTGGAAGCGTTAGCAAATGTTCTAATTTAGAACACAAACATTGTTAAGTTATATGTATATAATCACTTTAAAACCTGGCTAACCAGAGCACTATTCAAATTCACTCTATATATCATCCTAAACATTTGTTCACCATCTTAATATTTACACAGACACAACTATGACAAAATATTGACTAATCCTTTGTTAGTGAACCAGACTATATTAATTAGAAATTATTTACAAAAAGCTAAATCAAAATTTTACGATAACGTTTTTGACACCTATCTCGTTCGCGTTATTGACGTTCGTGATATACTAATGTATATTAATATAGACACGCTCCCTCAGTCATATAGTGTATTTACATAAACAGCGATTTTCCATGGCTCTTTGGTTTGAAAAAAATCACTGATGACGTCCTAAGAACCAACGAACTTTGTGATCGACTTTCAAAATTATGTTCTGTTAAAATCAACCAGTGTTTGAAAATGACATCCAACTGACGTTAAGAGTGAATCTATTGGTTGTATTTCTCTGGCTGGAGTATGCGATGTTTTCAATGTCTTTATCACGGATGAAGATACAGTCATGTCGTTACATACGGGTAATTACATTCATAATTAATTAATTAATTTCTTGTGATAATTTGTTGTGAAAACATTTCCGCATAAATGTATGACATCCTGCCTCGTATGTGTCATATAGTACAATATTAGTATACAATATGCATATATACGACACAAATCGCACATAGATATTTTAATAATTTCAGCATAGCTAAACCAATGATGATAGCACGTACGATAAATGAGCTGACGTTAGTTCAGGGGTCTAAGCTCTGGGTATTTGGCAGTCCTACAAACTTTTTATAAGTCATTCAAAATTGACTTTCTTTGTCTGCAAGCTCGAAGTGTATCGATGAAGCAGGTTATGACAACATTTCGAATACACAGACGGAAATTGACAGCATCACATGCGTTTGATATACACGAGCACCTTTGTTGGGTTGTGCCTGTCGGCGGAATTAACCCTTTAAAGTCAGTATTCGATGTAAATTGCGATTTGTTATTCGAATAGATTCCGTATCAAAGATATTTAGGACTTATATAGCACTATCTGTGTGAAAACGTTAGTCCGACATTATTTATTCATATACACCCTGTTTTATTTTCTATGACAATGTTCTTTGTTTGTAAATAGAGGGAGTTTTTATACTATTTTATTGACATAAACGACTGAACTTTTATACGATCCTCTGTGGTTATGTTCTTGTTTATATGGTGAATGAGTGAGTATGGTTTTACGCCGCTTTTAGAATTATTCCAGCAAGTTCACGGCGGGGGACACCAGAAATGGGCTTCACACATTGTACCCATGTCGGGAATCGAACCCGGGTCTTCGGCGTGACGAGCGAACGCTTTAACCACTAGGCTACCCGACCGCCCCCTTCTTTATATGGTGAATGAATTAGTAGTGAGTCGCTTTGAGTGGTATATACGGTAGTCACGACGCGGGGATATCCCGAAGAGGCATGATCTAGACTTTAACCATTTCTGTGAGATCCACGAACACGGTGTGGTTACATGCCGAGTCTTAAAATGGGGATGAATGTGGAAATCGATTTGTTTGTTTTGTTTGTTGTTTAACGCTGCACTCAGCAATATTCCAGCTGTATGACGGCGGTCTGTAAATAATCGAGTCTGGGCCAGACAATCCAGTGATTGACATCATGAGCATCGATCCGCGCAATTGGGATACGATGACATGCATCAACCAAGCCAGCGAACCTGACCACCCGGTCTCGTTAAGCCTCAGCCACTCAGACAATGCGACCGCGATGCAACCTCCTGGCGACCAGAATAACTGACAATCGCAATAAGGTTTCAGGGGTCTCTGAAAGATTTCACTGAGGTCGCTACAAGGTTTCAGAGCGGTCGCAAAACGGTCTTTTGAACATTCACAAAAGACTGGCTGCGACCGATTTGGTCGCTCGGGGGTTTCTTTGGTCTCCTAGAGGTCCCCAAGTGGTGTTATTTTAATCGCAGATTGGTTTCCAGTGTGCGGCGATCGGTTTCGACTACGCAAGGGTGTTGACCGTTTTGCAACCCAGTGGCGACCTATCGTTGATTGATCAGTGATGAGGCGGTGATCGACCGGCGCTTCATCGGTAACTGGTTGTCGATCGGTTGCAAAGTGGTTTCCAAGCGTGTGTTGGGTTTGCAACATGTTACCGTCTATAAAAAGACCTGTCTGCGCGTTACAGCATGATTTGGTCATAAGTTCTCAGAGAGTTCACATCAATTAATTCCATTCATCACTATGGTCCGTAAAAGCAGGAAAATTAAAGAACCAGAAATTGTAGAAGATACAATAGAGACAACTGCTGTGGTGCACAGGTCTGCTCCAATTGAGCCAGAGCCAACATCTCAACAAAGGAAGAGTAGAGGGAGCCATATTTACTGGGTGCTCTAATGGCGACTTGCTTTCCATCTGTGGCCCCAACTGCATGTGGAAAGTTCAATCTTGACCCGAATTTGTCGCTCAATTGGCGCCACTCTTCAGGTGTTGAGAGTGTCATCACTACACTACGATGATGGTTTCACAAACTTCACGAACCAATACTGATATTGTGTTTTGTGCCACTCTGAATGTGAAGGCCAAGCTGTGATACCTGTTTCCAGTTGCCAGGAGCCGAAGGGTGACAGCAAGCTGCAGTCCAGGACTCAAAGGTCTTCTCCAATTAGTGTCTTCTTTGGTCAATCTGGGTGTGAGTCTTTGTACAAATACGTGAAAAATTGCAGGCTCCATTCTGAGGTAGCCCACGAAATCACCACTTTGCCATCAGATTCTCATAGTCTCCCAATCTCATTAAAATCAGATCTTCGTTCTCGCTACCGCTAAACAAAGATCTGAGGACATCCCATTACGGGTCACGTCAGACCGACCTTGCGCGAACTTTGACCGACCAATGGAATGACCAATCAGAAGGCAGCTTTCTCGTGCTTTACGGCACTAATTTCAAATTGGCAACTACGCTTCGAAACGTATTTTGACAAATTCTCGATTACAAATTTGAAACCTCAACAAAAGAACATTCTGGAATGGCTAATAGATGGTCTAGATTTATGGATACAGTCGTTAAACCCGTAACTATCGTTCGGAGTTAAAGTTTTCGAGGCTGCATGATCAGAAATCACATTCCGACTATCACTTTCATAATCTGGTAAGCCACGCTTTGATTGGTCGGATGAAAGGTCGTTCTGACGTAACCCCTAATGGGATGTCCTCAGATCTTTGTTTAGCGGTAGCGAGAACTGAGGTCTGATTTTAATGAGATTGATAGTCTCCTAGCTGTGGCATTCTTGCGATCCAAGGTCTCAGACAATACTGCCTTCGCCTTGTCCTTCTCATTCTTCTGTACACCATCATGGCAGCAACTGCAGCATTTTGATTTATTCTTAGCAGGCGGAGCAACTGCAACTGTTCTGCTGTTAACATCTTGATAACTTGCAAAGAAATGATTTGATTCAGAAAAGCACCCTTTTATATGCATAATGTTTTGATCCGTGATCGATCGACAACTAGTTCAGTTGAAACAAGTAACCGAAGATTCGCCGACTAGTCACCGATCGGTCTCAACCAGTTGCAAACATTTCGCCGTATCTGCGGTGAACAGTTGCCGATCAATCACTGACAAGTTGCAAAACCTATCGCTGATTGATCAGCTATCATACGCTAATTCCAAATATGGAGAGAAATAGTTGCACCGGTCTCAGCGATCGCCAGTCGGTCGCAAAGGAAATCAGTCGCCAAGAGGTTGCATCGCGGTCGCATTGTCTGTGTGACTGAGGCTATATTCGCCTCATAGCATAGTCGGCATGTACGGCAAGCATGGGTTGCTGAAGACCTATTCTACCCCGGATCTTCGAGCATTTGATCATTGGATTCTGCAGCTGGTTAGGGCGGTGGTGGCCAAATCCTTTGAGCGTAAAAGAGGTTACGTTTAGAGCTTCAATAAAACTGTTTCGATAAATACTAAATAAATATGCAGTGTCACGCTTATGCCACACACTATTGTAATTTCGCTCTCGCGCAGAATAGTATATACTTTTTTAAAATTTTGTTCCTAAATGTTAAATACCTCATTCGTAAGTGTGCGAGCGTGCGTGTGGTGTTCCAAGCCTCCTTGAAGTTGACCTCAGTAGCGTTTGAATCTTGGGACCCAAGAGACCACTTGAAAATCTGAAACGTTTTACATTATAATAGGGTCATGAAAAGGTCCTATTGACTTAAAACGTTTCAAACAATGATAGACAATCCCAATGTGGGTAAAGAATACCTTGATTGATCGGATTGCAAAGACCCATCGATCTTCTCACAATAATTGCAGCATGTGTCACACAAAAACATGTTTAAAGGCTGCAGGTCATGAACGAGATGTCTTCACAATTGTGGATTTCTAAGTGCAAATGTTAACGTTCCAATGCATTCAACAAATAATTTGTGAGTACATAAAGTGCAAATATCCACTAACATGTTTCATTCGTCACCACTCGCCCCTTTCCGTAACCTGCAAGAAGACTCGTCCCCCATCGATGAATGTTATGTGCGAAAATACGACAAACCAATCAGAATGCGCGTATGATTTCAATTTCTTCGTCAAAGAAATAATTTTTGATTTTGCATATGTCATGCATCTAAAAATATACCCAAGACACAATTAAATGAATTCTATCATACTGTATAATTCCGCATGTCCAGATGTGCTTTAAATTGCATCTGAAACATATATTATATACGGGGAAATGTATGTGAACCATTACGCAACGAGTTGACAATTGTATTAGGTATGCCCGTTTGCGCTAAGACGGAACCCGGTCGCAAAAATGGCCATGAGAGGGGCACGAGTCGCTATTCGGCTTGTCCCGGAATAACACGAGTTGGTCACGAATGGAACATGTTTATGAGAACGTACTCCCATATTGCTATTGTGTATACAATTATGCACTTAATACCGTGCATGCACTAACCCTATTATCGCAAACTGTCATGATAACTGACTGTGCTTGACATCAATAGTCCATCCTGTCCTCCAAAGTTCACAAGCTGATATCAGGGAGTATCTCGTAGAATCATTGCTAATGTTGTCGAGAATGCGCAAGTCTTCTTTCACCTGGTGAACGCGGAAATCTGGAAATATTCCTACTTTGCGACACAGCGAGAGTCCCCGCTGAGTCAACACAAACGGTGACAGTCACGTTGTGTGTGCATTTGTGTTCGCACGAGTTACCAAATCTATATCCGCGATTTAAAGTTGTTAGAAGTGATAGATTCTTAACACTGGTCATACGGTACTGTTTCCCTCATATGTATACGACCGGCATCAAACAGTCACAGGATCCGGCCGGGGTAGAAGAGGTCTTCACCAACCCATTCAGACCGTAAAAGACGACAATGATTGTAAGGAGCGTTATCGGGTGGTCAGGCTCGCTGACTTAGTTGGTGCAAGTCATCGAATTCCAATTGCGTGGATCGATGCTCATGATATCACTCCCTGGATTGTGTGGCCTCTATATATCTGAAATATAGCTGAGTTCGGCGTTAAACAACAAACACACTAATAATAAGTATTCACAAGAGTGCCATTTTACATTCAAGTATCACACACACACACACACACACACACACACACACACACACACACACACACGAAACTGCCGATTTTATAGTGCCAGCCCATTGAGATTATATCATGTCGCAGTTTAAAAAGGATACGCAATAAACGGACTTCAAGCCGATTGTCCTTGTTTTCGTCCGCAAGCCAGGCAGGGTAACAACAAGTACCATCTTTTAACGTATTTTGGTGTGACGCGGCCGGGGATCAAACAGCCGACCATCCGCTCTCCGGGCGGACGCTCTTCCACTAGACCACGGAGGCGGTCAGTTATGTATACGTTGATGTCCTCAAAACACATGCTATCCACTTTCAATTCATTAATGCATAAACTGTAGAAAAAACAACAACACAAAAGTGTAATTGGTGTTGAAATTGATTACACGATGTTTTGAATTATGTTTGCAATAATTATTATGCAGCCCCAGCCTTGCGTTAATGTTAGTCTTTCCTAAATTCAAGATGGGTCAAGATTCCGAGTTATTCCGAGACTTATTTGCTCCTTTGTCTAGAAGCGTGGCGTTTCAAAGTAGAAGAAATACATATGCCAGGAAACAATTGTACGTAAGAATAGTAAAC